TGGAGCTTAGCCATTTCTTTCCGAAGGGAAGTCATTTGGGCTAGAAGCTCCGCTTCGACCGTAGTCTGAATCGCCGGAGGATTACCGAAGGGAGTGCTAGGGGGCAGCACAGGGCTTGCTCCGCTTGGCCTGCCGAACGGTAGCCCATCCTCCAATAAGAACGTTGGTACTGAAGTGGTTCCCATGCGTGTGTGTGTGTGTGTGTTTTTTTGTTTTTTTTTATAGGAATTGTAGGTCGATTTTTATCGATTCCCACAGACGGCGCCAAACTGTTGACGCAGAAAAATGGTTCGGCACTTTCCTATGCAACTTAGTGATGCTGGGCCTTCGGTATGCTCTGGGCCTCGGTAGGGCGTGCAATCTGCAAGATAGCAAACGCTCGGTAAGACCTAGGGCACCGGTGTGGTACCGGCCGAAGGCTCTCCGATGCTTAAGTAAGTACGGATTTAGTAAGATTGAACTACAGATCAATAGGCAGTATGCCGTAAGTTCTGATTACCTCCATTCTGGGAAATTGTGCTTTCTTTATAGACCTTGGGAGGTGTGCATGTTGTGTAGATTTTCGATGTGGGACTGTGGACATCAATTGTGAGCTTGCCACATGTCCTAGAGAAGGAGGTTGCCCTAATTGTTGGATCGGTAAACTGTGTGCCGAAGGCAGGTGCCAAAGGCTACCATGACCCATTTCGTCTACGTGTCAGCTTCTCATTGGCTGTTCATTTTGGTATAAACAGCTCTGATATTGCATCGATACGGTCACGATACGCTCGCGATACTATCCCGATACATGAAGGGGTAACTTTGACGGCAATCAAAAGAGAAGAAGAAGAAGGAGGAGGAGGAAGAAGGAAGAATGAAGAAGAAAAGAACTTGCGCTTGCAGCTGCTGCGAATCTTCAGTTGCAGACAGTTGCTGTGTGAAGAAGAAGCGGCTAACTATTTAAAAAGATGATGTTAGGTGCCCTAATTTCAATACGCACCGTTTTAGTTGCATGTTAGGTGGCCTATGTTAAAAAATTGTTTTATACCTTTTTAAGTCTAATGCATTTTTTTCCCCCAAAAAAAGAAAAAGAAAAAAAAAGTCTAATGCATTCATTTGGGCCCAGCCCAAGAACTGAAACAAGTCATACATGGCCTAGAAAAACATAAGGAACCAGAAAAAAGCCCAAAATGCTAATTTTACACACACATATATATAATTTTACATATATATGTTTATATTTATAATTTTTATATTTATATTATTTTAATAGCCGAATGGGTGTCCTACCCATATCCTACTTTTTAGAGATTTTCCGTATCAACGTATCGTATCGCCATATCCGTATCCGTATCCGTATCGATGTCAAGAATTATTGAATGACTTTGAGGAAGTTGGAGTGGGCCGTATGTTTCTGTATGTACAAGGAGAACATGCCCTATTTTTTAAGTAATCAGCGTAATCACACATCACTTACCTTATTCCTGGAGTGATTTTATTATTATTATTATTATTATTACTAAGTTAAATAATGTTTCTCTCTTGGGGAGCATATCTGAAATGCATTTGTTACTGGTTTGTGCATAGACCTCAGCTTTAACAAGCTAACCGGGGAAATTCCAAGCAGCTTTGTTGCTCTAGCAGAAGCGGAGTATATGTAAGCAATTTGAATAACAAATCTTCACTTTCTTACAAGAAAACTCAAGCAGACATTCTTCAATGGCTTTGTCACACCCCAGCCCTACAAGCTGGTCGTGTTAATCATGCTGACCATTCTGGCATTCTAGTAATTCATTGCTTTTGTTTATACCCCCTTTCTAGTAATTTATGCCGTTTTTCCGGTACCAATTATGTTTAGATTCTTAACTGGAAACTTGCTGACTGGACCAGTGCCTAGTTGGGCGAGAGAAAACTCGTAAGCTTCTCTTCCAAATTCTAATATTTAGTTACTTAGTAAGGAAATTTATGCTGTCTATTACTGGATAAAGCATAGTGCATGCGTTATGACATGACTTTTCGTACTGGAGCTTGACTTACAATTATACTCATGAAAAAGGCATTAATAAACATTTTCGTATGATCTTTGATATTAAAATTGTTGATAGCATTCTTAGAATTGTAGCTATTCCTTGTTATGTAAGATTTTGAAGTTTTTTAAGTATCCTAAAATGTTTACTAAGTTTTATGATGCCTAAGCCTTTTCAAGGTTTCCCTCATATCTCCAAAGCATTCTTTGCATATACCGGTAGACCAGCCATGCTATATGGGACGAAATTCTAGGCAATTAGAAAACAACATGTTCATAAAATGAGTGTGGCAGAAATGAGAATGTCAAGATGGATGTGTGGGAAAGCAAGGAAGGATAGGATTCGACATATTCAACGAAGTTTAGTGGATGCATCAGTTGGAGAGATTGACCTAATCAACATAGAAGGTAATTCCAAGGGAGGAGGGCATCCTGAAATGATATGATGGCTATGTCCCTACTGGGGGTGGACCGTTATCATCTTGGTATATGTTATGAGATGCGGGTAGCTTGACCAAATTCAGAACAAGGAAATTTTAAGCTGAACTTGGCTTAACTTGGACAGTTGTTAGAGCTCAGGCACTTATGAGGCTATGACTATGAATGGTGAAAGTTGCTAACATTTTTCTGCTCATGATTCATGAAGTTTGGTTGTGTGTTTTAATATTGGATTTTCAGAATTAACCATGATATCAAAAACTTCAGTCCAACCATGTTAATACCTACCTCTTGCTCCTCATTTTATTTTCTATTCACGTACTGCATTTGGAAAGGAATTTACGTAATATCCCCTTTTGTGCAGTGATCTTTCATATAACGACTTCCCCATAGGGAACACAAGTTGTAAATCACAAGGCGGCGCGTAAGAATGTCTTTCATTAGCTTGAGTTTACTCTGTTTGTGTCTTGTAGATCAAACTCCAATTTTCAGTTTGTGTTAATTTCTACAGGAACTTGTTTTCAAGCTTTTCAAGCTCGTAAGTTACAAATTAATCCCCTGAAAGCATTCATAGATAAATTTACTTGGCATTCCAACTGTGTATTCTTAATTCTTATTTTATAACTTATTTTCATTTATGATGTTATCTTGCTGACTTCTTCTGGATCCTGCATTATCCTATCAGAAAAACTGTTTCATGTTTAGGAAGTGCAAAATGTCCAAAAAGTAAGTTGGGTTTCCACATATTGCTTCAAGATATATTTATTTAATCAGCACTGGTTACTTTCCTGATGATGACCGTCAAGACAACTTAATCCAAAATAATAAATCTATACTCTCCATGGCCAATCCACATGAATGCACGCCTTTCTCCCATCTCTCTAACTTATTACGGGTTTTGTCTGGGAAATGGAACCTACACTGTACACCTCCATTTTGCAGAGACAGGGTTTACAAATGGCAAAACATATAAAAGCCTAGGAAGGCGTATATTTGATGTTTTCATTCAGGTAAAGGTCAATAGACACTGTTTAGTTCCTGGTTAGTTCAAATGTTTATGAATTTCTAGTAATAACATGTAAAATAGGTTGCAGTCAAGGCTGAAAAAATATACCACATTACGATCATGACAAGTTATGTAACAAAACTAGGATATTGCAGGGGAGACTAGTGCAGAAGGATTTCAATATTGCGGATGAAGCTGGTGGGATTGGTAAGGCAGTCATAAAGAAATTTAATGCTTCTGTAACTAGTGGTACCTTGGAGATCCGTTTCTATTGGGCTGGGAAAGGGACGACGGGTATCCCTCTTAGAGGAGTTTATGGTCCTCTTGTATCAGCTATTTCGGTAGATCCTAGTAAGTTTACACTGTTCTGAGCTTCTTCTAATTACTATTTGTGGACCATTGCGATTTTCTCATATGTAAATATCATGTTAGGCATTAATATTACAACACAATTAAGAGATCCGGCTTTAGGTAGCTGTTTGAATAATGCACTCTCTTATCTATTACATTCGCATTTACTCTAATAAACCTACACTTCTTCCGGCAGACTTTGTACCCCCACCAGAACCTGTAACATCACCTGTGACATCACCTGCACCTGGTGGAAGTGGCATATCTGTAGGTGCAGTAGTTGGAATTGTGGCTGGAGGAGTCTTCATTATATTACTGATTTTTGGTATTCTTTGGAGGACAGGCCTCCTAGGACAACAAAATACTTTGGAGGATGGTACGTACAGTTTATGCTGTTATTTTTTATGTACTTTTCGTATATATTTAGGCACACTTTGTAAGTTGATATTTATTTAGATATTGAACTTTCTAACGCCTTGATGCTGCCAGAATATATTATACTGTTGAAACCTTTGATGCAAAGTCTGCCTACCTATAGATCCAGTTACTTGTTAAATTCTAGGCCTTGAATTAGTCTCATATAAGAAATTCGGTAGACAATTTCTTATATGAGTTTGCTTCTTACATAGATTTAAAGGGCGTGGACCTGCAAACTGGTAAATTTAGCTTCAGGCAACTCAAAGATGCCACAAACAACTTTGACAAAGCCAATAAGATTGGACAAGGTGGTTTTGGTCCTGTTTACAAGGTAATCTGTGGAACCATTATTTCTTATTTATTGCATTTGGGCTTACTTGATTAATTGTAAGCATTGTTACTAAAGTTGCTCTGCTTTTTAGTGAAGGGATTTTAACTCTGTTTCTCAAATGCAGGGCCTTCTATCAGATGGCACCGCAATTGCTGTCAAGCAGCTTTCTTCCAAATCAAAGCAAGGGAATCGTGAATTCTTGAATGAGATAGGCATGATTTCTGCTCTGCAACACCCTCATCTTGTCAAGCTTCACGGATGCTGTATTGAAGGAAATCAACTATTGCTTGTCTATGAGTACATGGAAAATAATAGCCTTGCTCGTGCTCTGTTTGGTAAATATTACCCTTGTATGCCTAAACTTCATTTGGTTCATGTAGATGGGTATAAAAGATCTTATACATAAAAATATGTCCCTTATAACTAACTTTGAGTAATTTGACAAATTGAAGGGGCAGAAGAAAGTCAGTTGAAGTTGGATTGGCCAACAAGGCACAAGATCTGTGTTGGTATAGCTAGAGGTTTGGCTTACCTCCACGAGGAATCAAGATTGAAGGTCGTTCATAGAGACATCAAGGCTACTAATATGCTGCTTGATAAAATCTTACCCCAAAGATATCTGACTTTGGATTGGCCAAGCTTGATGAAGAGGATAATACACACATTAGCACCCGTATTGCTGGAACTTAGTGAGTCCCTGTGCTATTTTTTTTTCTTCCTATACTTTTATTTTGATTTCTTCCACCCTGACGATGGGTCCATAGAAATAGGAAATAGATGGAGGTTTCTCTACCTTGTATAAGTTTCAAACTTAACTAGATCTGTACTGTTAAAGAAACTTCGAAGTATTTTAGTATTTTGCTAAGCTAAATATGGGGAAATGATGAGCGATTTTTTGCAGTGGATATATGGCGCCTGAATATGCAATGCGGGGTTATCTGACTGACAAAGCAGATGTTTATAGCTTTGGAATTCTTGTATTGGAAATTGTTAGTGGGAGGAACAACACCACTTACAGAGGAAAGGAAAAAAGCTTTTATCTTCTTGATTGGGTAACATGATTCTACTGCTTCCTTATTTAAAGTTAAATTTAATCTGATACTGTTGATCTCTATTCTATGTTTACGGCTGAGAGAAAGTGACTGATACTGCAATAGTTTTAATGATGATCCAAAATCAAGTCTGGCTTCATTTGACATTATCTTTCTCTGACAATATATGTAAGATCAGTGAAATTATTTGTAAAGACAAATTATCTCTGACAATATATGTTTCTAGGCACAACTACTAAAAGGGCAAGGGAAATTGATGGACCTAGTGGATCCAAGGTTGGGCTCAGACTTCAACAAAGAAGAGATGATGCTTACAATCAATGTGGCTCTCCTCTGCTGCAATGTCACTTCAACAGTTAGGCCTACCATGTCTTCAGTTGTGAGCATGCTTGAAGGCAGGGCTGCTGTTCAGGAATTGGTCTCAGATCCAAATGCCTCAACTGATGAGATGGAAGAAATGAGGAAACATTTTGAACCCAGTTTCGGAAGGAAAACCGGTGAGAGCCAGACACAAACTGGGTCAACTGAAGGGCCTTGGACTGGTTCATCTACATCTGCTCATGATCTCTATCCAGTCAATCCTGATTCAACTTACTGGGACAACAGAAGTGAGAGAAACTGAGCAAACTGTCTTGACTCTCAAACATTTATGTTCATATATCATCTTTACTCCCTCTCCATATACACACGCATATATATTTTTTGTTTGGCAAGATAGCTGAAAGAATAATATAGATGTTTCTACAGCATGGTAAATTGGTAAATGTAAATTATGAATCCCCTGGATCAACTTTGCTACAGCACAGAAGCTGGTATATTATATCTTTTGAGAATGCATTACGATGACATAATTTGCAATACAGGGCAGAGGTTTAGAGTCCGGAAAACTGAATAAATTACTTGGAAGCTAAGCTTTGTTACTGTTTCTATTTGAAAGAGAATGGTGGAAATCAGCATTCTGCTACAAAACAATGTGGTTTTGAACTTGTCGTGCAATATCAATATGAGTGTTGGAAGGCATGAACTAGCGGATTCGGCTTAGACAGATACAGGAGATAAGAATTAAGTCATCTTCCAATGCTCCAATCCAACGACCCCAAGTGGACGGTAGCCCTTTTTTCTGTAACTTCAGAAATCTAAATTCCAAGAGAAAATGCGCATTCAACAACTCAAAGCTGATTTTAAAGATCGAAGTAGATTTTAAAAACCAATTGTCAAAATTTCACAATGCAAAATGCAGACCTCTCATAAGAAGAAAATGCAGAGGAAGAAGCTGTCAAATTTTCTCTCAATGTTGTAGCCTCCCTTTTTACCCAAAAAGAAGTCTGCCCTAAATTTCCCCAGCTGGCAGCCAAACATTGGCTTCACAATGATACAAAGAACATTAGAATAGAAAGTTTACAGCTGACAAAGGCTGGACTCACGTGAGAATAAAATGAATGATTTTTACCTTCAAGGATCTTAATTCTATTTAAGCCATGACAAGGTTGATCTCGATTTCTGTAATCATTTTGAATGCATATTTAAACTAGCCTAAATTCCTTGAGCTTGATTGATTACATACGAGATTACAAGTTTGTCAAAGAAAGCTAAAAGCATTAGAAGAACGAAAACTAACAATCTGAACGTAGTAGTAGAGGAAATAAAATATAGCTCCCACAAAAATTGTAAAACAATTGTATGATCGGTGCTACTTCCACAATTACATAGTAGATAAATAGACTGTACTTAATGATTTCTGATACATACAGTAAACAAGTAGTCTCCGGGCACATTAAAATGACCATGTGCTTTGTAAGTGCCTGCATCACCAACCAGGAAAGTTCATTGAGGTTATATAAATTTTTTGATAAGTTCTTAGACGAAGAAACAAAGAAAGGACAAGTCATCCAATATTGATATTGATAGAACAGAATTGGAATATTAATTAATGGCGCTGTAAAGACTCAGTCAGCAGCAGTCTTTCATCTTTTGTGGACTGAAGCTTATTTCCTTCGACCTGGGACCTGAAGCTAACCCTTTAATTCCTATCCCTGTCACAGTGTCACATGGCTCTTTACACAAGTTCATTATGATTTTTACTAATAACACTTTTAGAAATCATCATTTTAGAAATTACAATTTAATAGGTACATAAAATAATTCAATAAAAATATAATAAGAAAATTTATACATACATGTAAAACTATAATTGAAATGAAAGTAAAAGTTTCTATTTTTTTTATCGTTGGAAGTAAGAGTTTCTACTTAGAGTCATGTTCCTTTTACTAGTACAATTTTGACTGCTCTATTTTTGCTTTATTTTTTCTTTGACAGACATGAATTAAATTAAGAACCTGCGGCTCCAATTGAAAGTCAATAACGTACAGCTTCAATGCATTGACTGGTTGATTGGGAAGTTGGAGTGTCCATCCAGAAGTTGTAAATAATGGAAAGGCTTAAATGCTACAGTGCCCCTTGAAACATTTGTCAAATTTCACTTTACCCCCTTGACCAAGGTTTGATGTTCCACAGTGCCCCCTACCGTCAATTCCATCCAAAAATCTATTAAGTTTGATGATGTGGTAGGGGTGTTGTAGTAATTTTGTGTACCTAAGTTTTTTATTCATAAATTTGAGTGGGTAATGTGACAAAGTGGAGCCCACCTCCATCATGGATAAAAAATTAATAAAAAAGTAATTACTTTAAAAAATTAAAATACAAACATAAAATTTAAAACTTTAAAAAATTGATCTCTCTCTCTCTCTCTCTCTCTCTCTCTCTCATATCTTAAACTAACCTTCCTGATACACAGTGATCTGACCAACACCAGAACCCCCAAGAACCATTTTCCCAAAATAGTTCACACCCCAGCCCTACAAGCTGGTCATGTTAATCATGCTTACCATTCTGGGATTCTAGTAATTCATTGCTTTTGTTTATACCCCTTTCTAGTAATTTATGCCCTTTTTCCTGTACCAATTATGTTTAGATTCTTAACTGGAAACTTGCTGACTGGACCCATGCCTAGTTGGACGAAAAAAAATGTGTAAGCTTCTCTTCCAAAGTCTAATCTTTAGTTATTTAGTAAATAGATTTATGCTGTCTATTACTGGATAAAGCATAGTGCATTCGTTATGACATGACTTTTCATAATGGAGCTTGACATACAATTATACTCATGAAATAGGCATTAATGTAAATTCTTTAAAAGAATCTTACAATCCACCCCCCTTAAGGGCCTGATGTCCTCGTCGGCACACTCGCACCACACGGCAGAGTGGCTCTGATACCAAATTGTCACATCTTGGGATCGACTCCCCCGTAGCACGATATTGTCCGCTTTGGGCCCCCCTTCTCTGGCCCTCACGGTTTTGTTTCTGGAAGCTCACGACCAACTTCCCAGTGGGTCACCTATTCTGGGATTGCTCTGGCCCTCAACTCGCTTAACTTCGGAGTTCCTACGACTCCGAAGCCAGTGAGCTCCCAAAAGGTCTCGTGCTAGATGGATGCGGGTGTGCACATATAAGGCACATCACCCCTTCTCCGTTGGTCAATGTGGGATCTTACAATATGGGACGAAATTCTAAGAACTTAGAAAACAACATGTTCATAAAATGACCGTGGTGGGAATGAGAATGTCAAGATGGATGTGTGGGAAGACAAGGAAGGATAGGATTCGACATAGTCAACAATGTTTAGTAGATGCATAAGTTGGAGAGATTGGCCTAATCAACATAGAAGGTAGTTCCAAGGGAAGAGAGCATCCTGAAATTAAATGATGGCTATGCCCTTGTCTTGGGGTGGACCTTTATTATCTTGGTATACTATATGTTATGAGATGCGGGTAGCTTGACCAAATTCAGTACGGGGAAATTTTAAGGTGAACTTGGCTTAACGTGGACAGTTGTGAGAGCTTAGGCACCTATGACTATGAATAGTGAAAGTAGCTAATATTTTTCATCTCCTGAAGTTTGGGTGATTGTTTTATATTGGATTTCCAGAATTAAATCTCGCTAGAATTGATATAAACTATGATTTCAAAACTTCAGTCCAACCGTGGTAATACCTACCTCTTGCTCATTTTATTTTCTGTTCTCATACTGCATTTGGAAAGGAATTTACGTAACAGCCCTTTTTGTGCAGTGATCTTTCATATAATAACTTCAATATAGGGGACACAGGTTGTCAATCACAAGGCGGCTTGTAAGAATGTTTTCATTAGTTGAGTTTACTTTGTTTGTGTCTTGTAGAGCAAACTTAAATTTTCAATTTGTGTTAATTTCTACAGGAACTTGTTTGCAAGCTCTTCAAAGGGCAATAGTTCGTAAGTTACAAATTAATCCTCTGAAAGCATGCGTATATAAATTTACCTGGCATTCCAACTGAGTATTCTTATTTTATTTTACAACTTATGATGTTATCTTGCTGACTTCTTCTGGATCCTGCTGCATTCTCCTATCAGAAAAACTGTTTCATGTTTCAGAACTGCAAAATGTCTAAGAAGTAAGTTGGGTTTCCACATATTGCTTCAAGATATATTTATTTATCTTTGATTTTTTTTTGGGGGGGAGCTGGAGGCTTGTATGATCCAAAAGGAGAAGTACTATGTGAAAGAAGACCATTATACACTTGCATCAACCCATCATGAACATAGAAATAATTGCATTATTTTTCTTCTGGGGTTGATTCTTTTTTGTTTTCCTCCTCAATGGCCACTAATCTTTTGCTTTCTGTTGTAGCTTGGTACTCTCTCCATATAAATTGTGGTGGAAAAGAAGTAACTGTTTTGGGAAAAAAATTACAACATTTAATGGTGACACAGATTCAGTTGGATCTTCATCATTTCGCCAGAGCTCAACAAATTGGGCTTTAAGCAGCACTGGTTGCTTTACTGATGATAACCATGAAGACACCCTTATCCAAAATAATGAAACGATTCTCTCTATGGCCAATCCAAAACTGTACATGAATGCACGCCTTTCCCCCATCTCTCTAACTTATTTTGGGTTTTGTCTGGGAAATGGAGACTACACTGTAAACCTCCATTTTGCAGAGACACGGTTTACAAATGGCAAAACATATAAAGCCTGGGAAGGCGTATATTTGATGTTTACATTCAGGTAAAGGTCAACACACATTACGATCCTGAAATGTTTACATTTAGTTCCTGGTTAATTCAAATGTTTATGAATTTCTAGTAACAACATGTAAAATAGGTTGCAGTCAAGGCTGAAAAAATACGATCATGAAATGTTAAGTAACTACATTAGCATATTTCAGGGGATACAACGGCTGAAGGATTTCAATATTGCGGATGAAGCTGGTGGTGGGGTTGGTAAGGCAGTCATAAAGAACTTTTATGCTTCTGTAACTAATGGTACCTTGGAGATCCGTTTCTATTGGGCTGGGAAAGGGACGACTGGTATCCCTGTTACAGGAGTTTATGGTCCTCTTATATCAGCTATTTCTGTAGATCCTAGTAAGTACTGTTCTGAGCTTCTTCTAATTACTATTTGTAGACCATTGCGAGTTTCTCATATGTAAATATCATGTTAGGCATTAATATTACAACACAATTAAGAGATCCGGCTTTAGGTAGCTGTTTGAATAATGCACTGTCTTATATATTACGTTCGCATTTACTCTAAAGGGCGTGGACCTGCGAACTGGTAAATTTAGCTTCAGGCAACTTAAAGATGCCACAAACAACTTTGACAAAGCCAATAAGATTTTGAATGCATCAAATAATGTGGCTCTCCTTTGCTGCTATGCCACTTCAACAATTAGGCCTACCATGTCTTCAGTTGTGAGCATGCTTGAAGGCAGGGCTGCTGTTCAGATATTGGTCTCGGATCCAAATGCATCAAATAATGAGATGGATGCAATGAGGAAACATTTTGAATCCACTTTGGGAATGAACACCAGTGAGTGCCAGATACATACTGCATCAAGTCAAGGTCCCTTGACCGGTTCATCTACATCTGTTCATGATCTCTATCCAGTCATTCCTGATTCAACTTACTAGGACAACAGAAATGAGAGAAACTGAGTAAACTGTCTTGACTCTCAAACATTTATGTTCATATATCATCTCTACTCCCTCTCTATAGAGTCTATATATACACACACATATATGATATATATATATATTTTGTTTAGCAAGATGGCTGAAAGAATGAATGATCCCAATTGATTGGGCACTTGCAAAAGCAATGGGAGAATAAATGATAAAGGGAAGAGGAAGTCAGTTTCCCACCAAAACTATTAACTTCAGCTTCCAATTCCTTGGACAACTTGACATGAGCTTTTGTCAAGATTCTACCAAACATGAAACATGTGGTCCTTTTATTTATTTATTATTTATTTGGTTGTGGGTGTTGGGGTAAATTTTGTGGTGAAAATTTATGATGGAAAATTACTGCCACTACTACAATATTTGGGTTTAGGCACCATTTTTATTTGTGCTCTTAACTTCAAAAGACACAAACAAACAATTGTGCTTTATAATCCAAGACCACGATGCAGCCACTTTTTAGTTGACGGTTTCCTACACAGGAGTTTCCATTGCTATCGGACACAAATTTGTCATTTGAGTCTGACACGATTGAGGATGAAAAGAGGCATTTGTGGTTGTATTCTTATAAGCTATAACTCGGCAACTTTATCAGTTGATTAGACATATATGTGCAGGCACAACTATAGAATCGTGCTCAATACTGAATATTTTATTATTATTATTTTTTTAAGGACATTGCCTGAGTTGAAGTCCAGTCTTTGCCCTCTAAATAATTAATTGTTTTGGTCTCATCTGTGTGGAAGCATTTCCTTTTAGTCACAGTCAGGTCCTTTTAGCTATGTTTGGATGTTTTGGTTATGTTTATTTCTTGAAGATGGCTTAAACATGTTTCTGAAAAATTTCAAGAATCTGGAAAAGCATGTTTTGATTTGGTTTTCATATTTTCAAAACTTTAAACACGTTTTTGACCTAGCAGATCACCTTGAAATCCTAAAAATGCCTATACGTCACAGTTTTACTGTGAGTTGTGTTAATTAGGTCATTCCATATTCATAAAGGTATTTTGGGTCAAAAACGGACACTTAGAACCCCAAAACACTATTCACGCAGAAACACTATTCACTGCAATTTTAGGGTTTTTCCTTATTGAACTATGTTTTGTTTGGTTATTTTTTTGAGCCAGATAGATGTTGTCTTTGTTTTGAGAATCAACAAACTTTTCATAACAAAACCAAACCTAAATACTCAAACCCTAAAGAAATAACCGAAAATTGCATCATACCTAAATTGCTTGATAAGTTTCTTTAACAAATAGAATCTGTCATGTAATTTATTTGTGATTGCACAAGATAACATGTAATTTGTGTAAGCTATAAGTAATCTCTTGCCACAAAGGTGTGGTACTTAATTAAGGACGTTTGCATATATTATTTGTTAGTTTTGTGAATAAAGTTAAACTGTTTTCTCTTAACAAATTGAGAATCAGTTTCTAGGAAAGTAATATGTTTTTGTTTGCAAATTTAAACACTCCCTCAATCAATTTCTTGCAAATTGAAAGATCCACTAGATCAAACCTCAATTTATGGACATTTGATTTTAAAGTTATTGTTGGAATGAACGAGATCGCTTATGATCTCACTCATGGCTATATTTAATTCAAGTTAGCCTTTTTCGCTCATGTGTCTTGTAGTACAACTCCTAGAGCTTAGGGAAAAGGAAAAGCATATGGCGTTCAATAGGTGTCACTTGTGCCAACTTGTCACGAATGGCATTCTAGTAAAGAATATAGTGGAGTTAATTAAGAAGCGACACGAAGATGAGCTGGAGCGAAAAAGGGTTAAGGCGTAGCGAAATCGTCGACCATATAGAGGACCCATAAGGATATACACGGCTACAAAGGACAATCTCAGAAGTCTTAGGATCGCTATAAAGCTCGGTGTATGCGCTTATGGGAGAGGACGAAACATCAATAAGCTACTTCGATACAAGAATCTCCTAGTGCAATCTGTGAAACCATCGCCCCAACCTGAATCACCTGTTGAGATTTTTGATGCCACCACTAATAGGGAGATAGTGGTACTTGACCCATTCCCTGTTAAGGAGAACAACACTTTCATGGTAGCAAGTTTGTGACAATGAGTTTTAGATAGCTACCTGTTGTTTTAATCAAATTTTATTGGAGTAGTTGGTTTTTAAGTTGGATTCAGGATTTATTTTAGAGGTGGATGATGTAGTTTTCAGTACCTTAAAGAGAAATTCAATTTATATTTCAAGATTATTAAGACTTGGTTTTAATTTGGTATCAATAAAGATGTTGTTGTATATCAAAATTCAAAGGTAATAAAGATGGATTATATTGTCTCAATTACAATAAAGATAGTGAAGTTTGAATGGCATAGGCTTTCAGGGCACATTTTAAAATAAAGAATGAAAATTCTAGTTAAGGAACAAATCTTGCCATTATTGACTTTCAGTGATGACAAAATTTGTATTGAGTGTGTCAAAGGAAAACTCACTAAGACTAAGAAGAAAGGTGCAACTCGCAGTAGTGATCTTTTAGAGATCATCCACACAGTTTTGTGGACCTTTCCCTCATCAAACAATTGATGGAAATCGTTTTTTCATCACCTTTATAGATGACCATTCTTGTTTTGGTTATCTGTATCTCATAGTAGAAAAGTCTGAAGCTCTTGAAATGTTTAAACTGAAGTAGAAAGGCAGCTTAAGAAAAGGATCAAAATTGTGAGGTCAGACGGAAGGGGTGAATTTTATGGGCATTTTGATTAAGGAGGACAACGTGCTGGACTTTTTGCTAGGTATCTACAAGATAATGGAATAGTTGCTCAGTACACAACACCATGAATTTCGCAACAGAATGGTGTGGAAACAAAAAAAAAAAAAGAAAAAAAAAAAACGTTGAAGTTGACGTGGTTCTTAGCAAGATTTCTAGAACTGATTTGCCTACGTTTTTAGAGAGGCGATCAAAACAACAAACTATAGAGTCCCTAGTAACTCCGTTCCTAAGACACCTTTTTAATTTTGGACTACCAAAAAACCTAGCCTAAGACAAGAGAAGAAGCTTGATCCTAAAACGATAAGATGTAGGTTATTTCACAAGGTCAAAGGGTTTTATATTTTATTGTCCAAATTATGGTACCCAAATTGTTGAGACTGGTTGTGCAAATTTTATAGAGTATGAGGAGAATGCCACTGGGAATGAAGATTTTATTTTTGAAGAAGAAGGTGATGTAGCTGTGATTAAGGAAATTGAACAAGAAGTTACACCCTTGGTTCTTTTAAGTGAGACTGCCTTGGAAAATCCTCAATTTGAAGACCCAGTTAAACCACAAGAACAAGCAACCCTAAATCCTGAGCTAGAAGATCCACAAGAACTTGTACAACCGTGGAGATCTAACATACTAAGAAGATCCACAACAAATTCAGATTATGTACTTACAAGAAGCAGGTTTTGACATTGGAGATAAAGCTGATCCAACAAGTTTTAGAGAAGCAATGGAGAGTCAGAATGCAAACAAATGAAGGGAATCAATGTTGAATGAACTTGAAAGCATGAAGAATAATCAAGTATGGGAATTAGTTGAACCCCACAAGAGCTGGAAATTGGTAGGCTCGAAATGGGTTTTCAAAACAAAGAAAGATAAGGATGAAAGAATCGAAAGGTTTAAGGCTAGATTGGTAGCCAAAGGATTTATCCAAAGGGAGGGAATTAATTATACTGAGACAACCTAAAGAGTTTGCAAAGGAGAGAAAAGAGCATATGGTTTGCAAACTTAGCAAAGCAATTTATGAACTGAAGCAAGCAAACAGGATGTGGCATTTGAAGAGAACATAGCTGACCAATGCATTTATATGAAGAAATGTGGGAGTCGATTTATTTTCTGGTGCTGTATGTCGACGACATATTTTGGATACAAATGATCACGATTTACTGAATGACACTAAGGAACTACTTTCAAATAATTTTGAGATGAAGGATTTGGGAGAAGCTGGGTATTGAGATTCAGAAAGATTGAGCTCGAGGCCTTTTAGGCCCATCACAGAAGACATACATTGAGAGGGTACTCAAGTGTTTTGACATGAGTATGTGTTTTGGACAGAAAGTTCTATTAGATAAAGGAGATTTAAAGAAGGAGCATTGCCCAAGAATAAAGAAGAAGAAGATGAGATGAGGAACAAGCCATACATTTCTCTAGTTGGAAGTATTATGTATGCACAAGTGTGTACAAGGCCAGACCTAGCCTTGTGCATTAGCAAGATGAAGAGATTTCAGTCAAATCCGGGAATGCAACTTTGGATAATTGGAAAGAAGGTTCTGAGGTATCTACAAAGAACAAAGGCTTATATGTTGATTTACAGACGCACGTTTCTAGTTCAACCATGTTTTCAGAATACATAGCTTGCTATGAAGCCACTTCTCATGCAGTATGGCTAAGGAATTTTATTAAAGACATTAAGGTGGTGGACTCGATTTCTAGACCAATACAGATATATATTGACAACAGTGCGACTGTTTTTCAATGCATGAACAACAATATGTTGTCTGGACTTTAGCATATTGACAGAAAGTATGGGTTAATGGTTTTATTAGTCCCCCAACTTGGACCAGATTTGCATTTGAGTACCTCAATTTCCAAAATGGTACCTGTGGTCCTTTAACTTTAGTTTCGTTTAGACAACTAGTCCCACCGTTACTTTTGTTAACTTTTTCTGTTAAATGCAGGGATAAAATGGTATTTTTACATTAAAACAAAAAAAATGAATAAAAATTTATATCTTTAAAATTGTAAAAGAACATCAAATAAAAAACCAACAAAAAAATAAAAATAAAAATCAATCATCGTCCCTCTCTCTCTCTCTTTCTCTTTCTCTGTTTGATCTCTCAACCTAGTTGAGATGAAGAACATCAACAACACAAAGCTTATCCTTCTCCACCCCTACATCCAAAACAGGGAACCTCCAACCACCTCTGGCTTCTAGCCTTCATGTCCATCTTCACACTTGCTTTCCTTCTCACAATCATTTACACAAGTGGCTTGTACGCATACTCATCAACCACAACAACCGCCATCTCTGCCGCCACAATAACCACCACAACAACCGCCTCCACGTTAATGTATGGTTTTTACTATTTTCTTTTGGCTTCCCTTGACAACTTTGTAATAGGATGTGTGTTGTTATTTATCAAGCTCAAGTTTAGATTAAGGAAAACCTTTCTTGGTGCTCTTCTCTAACTTCTGATGTATGGAGGTTCATGCAATTTGACAAAGGTATTGTGCATTGCATATCATTTCATAAAACAGTCTTCATAAAAACTGATGACTAGTCATCCGTTTCTCAGATGACTAGTCATCCTTGCTCTGTAGGATTTCCAGCTGGATAACAAACTGTTTTGTCCTATTCCTCTTTCTCTCTCTCTGCTGCCATCTGGGTTTTCTGACCTAAGGAATTTTTTGGCTGTAAAGGCTACGTTTTTGGTCATTTGGTGGCTGTCTCTTTTGGGTGGAAGTTTTGGAAAGTTTGGCTTGCCATCTTTCGCTTCTTCTTCCTCGAGAGAACCATCTTATTTCATCTATGAGTTTTTCCAATTGATTTCTTTTTGAAAAACTGCATTTGAAACACAAATCTGCATCTAGCTACTTAAATCATTCTATCATTTATATCTAGGTCAGATTCAAGATTGATTTCTTCAAGAGTATGGTTTCTTGAAGAAATTGGTCATTCTCCTTTGAATCCAAATTTGGTTTCGGTTTGTGTTGGAGCTTGCAAGCTAGTGCCATGGGATGAACGAGCTGGAGAAGGAGCTGCCATTGCCATGAAGAACTGAGCTTCAAGCTTTGCTAAGTTGGAGAAGAAGATTGCACAAAGGAGGTATAGCTCATCTTCCTAAATAGATCTAGGTTTTTCTTGAGCTTGCTTGTGTTCCTTTGTAAGAATCTTTTTCTACTTAGTGGATTGCCTGGTCGGTTGATGACCCCCAGTTTTTCCCAATGGTGGGTTTCTGGGTAAACAGTTTCTGGTTTCCAACTCTGTAAATTTTCTGGGTTTGTGTTCTTGACAGTTGACTAGTCATCTGGGTTTGTGCAGTTGACTAGTCATCTTTTTCTGCTGTTTGGTGTTTGCTTGATTCTGCTTTGGTCTTCACACACTTTCACCATAGTTGTTGCTAGCACATGGGGATGCCTAGATTGACGGGTCCTTCTGAGTGCCTAGGTTGTCACTAGTAATTCTCTAGGCTTGCAGGTACATCTTGGTGTGCTCTGTGTATGTTATTGTTTGGTATAATTCATATATGACAGTTGACTAGTCATAAGAGTATTTGGTCAAGGTCTAGAGTGTGTGAAGTTTGCTGCGTTCTTGGTTGAATATCTTTTAAATTTACCCCTCGTCACCTAAGTACCATTTCAAATTGGTATTAGAGCACCAGCTCTTAATATAAATAGAGAGATCCTTTGGGTGCTAATTGGTATTAGGTTTGCAAACATAAAAATGGACCAAATTGCTCCTTGCATTCATGATGAGCTTGCCTTGTTTGTTCAGAAATATAGAAGGGTTGTCAAAGGTAAAACCAAAGTCACTAGGAATTGTCAAAATCTTCCTAGCTCGTCTACATGTGTGTCTCAAGACAATGTTTTTAAGGAGATGAATTTTTTGGACTCTTATGGCTTTAGGGAGGACAAAAGTTTGAAGGGTCTTGTAAAGTGCTATCTATGTGGTGGTGCTGGTCACACTGATGTGGAATGTGCAAATAACCACATGATAGAGTCTAATGGGAGAGAAGAGTCAATTAGTGCACAATGGAGTGATAGTGATAGTGTTGATTCCAATAACTATATCACTTCATCTTTTGAAGAGACAAATAATTTTGCCCTTGTTGGTTCTGTTCATAACTCTAGCATTGCTAGAGTTCATGTAGTTAAGGAAGGAAAATCTGATTCAAAAAATGAATCTGTGTCTGGAGATGATAGGCAGGATGACCAGTCATACAGGAAACAGGATGACCAGTCATACCTGGGTATGTGAAAAGTATGATGTCTTTTTACTGAAACTTCCAAGCTTAAGGAAAGAAATTTCCTACTTGAAAGGAAGGTAAAGAACCTGGAAATTCTTAATTGCACTTTTAAAGAAGCAAATAATGAATTGAGTGAAAATATTGAGACCTTGAAGAGTGAAAAGGATTCATTGATTGTCATTAAAAATGACATTTCAAACCAATTGAATGTGCTCAAGGAAAACAACTTGGTTTTCCATGCCTCCAACAAGAATTTGTTGACTCAGATAAATGAGGCAAATGACATGGTGATCAAGCTTACCATAGGGGCTAAAAAGGTGGATAAAATGTTGAATATGGGTAAGGTTCATGGAGACAAAATTGCTTTTGGTTATGGTTGTTCTAGTTCATATGCCCCTCCTCATTTGACCACATTTGTCAAGGAGTCAAATACAAAGTTTGATGTTTTAGAGCCAACTAGGACTCAAAGATTCATTCCTACTTGTTACCATTGTGGTGTGAAAGGTCATATTCGACCTAGGTGTAATGCTCTAAGGAATGTGTCTAGAGCAACCGATGCAAATGGCTTTAAGAACCATATTTCATCTCTTAAAACATGTGAGCTTGCAAAATCTGTTATTTGTACAAGAGATAAACATTTTTCACTTGCAAAATTTGGTTTTCAACAACCAAAAAGGTTCATTCCTATATGCCATCATTGTGGCACATTAGGACACATTAGACCAAAGTGTTTTGAGCTTTAGGAATTTTGAGCAAAAAGCCTTTTGTTCATTTCAAGAAAGTAAATGACGACTCACTTCAAACTCAAGTGAATGATCTTCTTTATAAAGTTGTCAAAATTCCTACAGGTGTTCTCTTTTTTTTTTTTTTTTTTTTTTTTTTTTTTTTTTTTTTTTTTTTTTTTTTTTTTTTTTTTTTTTTTTTTTTTTTTTTTTTTTTTTTTTTTTTTTTTTTTTTTTTTTTTTTTTTTTTTTTTTTTTTTTTTTTTTTTTTTTTTTTTTTTTTTTTTTTTTTTTTTTTTTTTTTTTTTTTTTTTTTTTTTTTTTTTTTTTTTTTTTTTTTTTTTTTTTTTTTTTTTTTTTTTTTTTTTTTTTTTTTTTTTTTTTTTTTTTTTTTTTTTTTTTTTTTTTTTTTTTTTTTTTTTTTTTTTTTTTTTTTTTTTTTTTTTTTTTTTTTTTTTTTTTTTTTTTTTTTTTTTTTTTTTTTTTTTTTTTTTTTTTTTTTTTTTTTTTTTTTTTTTTTTTTTGGGGAAAGGGAAGAATCAAACATCAACTCCACTTTTTTCTCCAATCAACAGGCACACCTCTTCAATTTGCTTTCTGCGCTCACACCAAATCAATGTCAAACAACTTATAGCAGCTATATCGTGGTAAAATTACAACAATATCATCAACAATCAGATAATTGCAATGGATTTGCAAGTGCGGCAGGTCCGTTTTTTTGTGAGTTTCCATCAATTATTCTGTATCTTCTCGTACATGGATTTTGGATAGTGGTGCAACGGACACATCACATCGACTCTTCTCTTTTCACTCAAACACATAGTTCTTCCATGCCTTCAGTTCATTTACCCACTGGTTCCTCTTCCTATTTCTTCAGTTGGCTCAATACTCTTTGACAAAAATATCACTTTGGATATGTTAACCAAATCCTCCAATTGTTGTGTCATTCTTTTTCCTGACTTTTGTGTGTTACAGGACTTGGCTACGGGAAGGACGATTGGCTTGGGTAAACAGCGAGGAGGCCTTTACTATATGTCGCCGCTAACACGCCGCTAAACACAGCCTCGCTTTCTTGCTATGTTTCCCACACATCCAGCCTATGGCACCAGCGTCTTGGTCATCCCTCACCTGCTCGACTCAAATTACTTTCCAATGTGCTTCCTTTCTGGTACTGTTTCCTTTGAGAATATTTGTGATATTTGTCCCATGGCGAAACAGACAAGATTACCTTTTCCGTTAAGTTCCATCTCTTCTAATGTGCCTTTTGCCTTGTTACATTGTGATATTTGGGGTCCCCACAAAATTAAATCTCATTCTGGGCACGTTACTTTCTCACCATTGTTGATGATTACACTAGGTGCACTTGGCTATTTTTGATGACTCATAAATCCGAAACACAATCCCTCCTAAAATCATTTTTCACCTTTGTTCGTACTCAATTTCATACCACCATCAAAGCGATAAGGGCCGACAATGGAACCGAATTTCTCTCATTGCGAGATTTTTTTCTTCATAATGGGGTTGAATTTCAACGTTCATGTGTTTACACTCCACAGCAAAATGGAGTAGTTGAACGCAAGCATCGTCACATTCTCAGTGTGGCTCGTGCTTTGCTCTTCCAAGCCAATTTGCCATTAATTTTTTGGGGGGAATGTGTTCTCACTGCCGTTTATCTTATGAATAGGCTACCCACTCCATTATTATCCAACAAATCACCCTATGAGAGACTGTACAATCGACCCCCCACACTTGCTCACCTTAAGGTATTTGGGTGTCTTTGCTATGCCACTGTTGTTCAACCATTACAAAAATTTGATTCACGTGCCCGTCGTTGTATTTTTGTTGGCTATCCAACAGGTCAAAAGGGCTATAGGCTTTATGATTTGGCTACAAAACAATTTATTGTTAGCAGGGATGTCAAATTCCATGAACATATTTTTCCTTATTCATTTGCACCCCGAGATGACCCATCAACAAAACTCACAAAGTGTTTTGCCCCTCTTTTTGCCTACTCCTCACACATATACAGGCACTCCAGACCCTCCTATAGTCCCCATTATTTCCTCACCTTCCGCTGATATACCACATCCTTCATCTCAAGAGTCACCAACACCAATATCTCTACCTCCTTTGTCCCCATGATGCCACCCAAGAGGTCCCCACCCAACCTTCCACTACTTTTCCTCCCTCTCTCAATGAATCGACCATCACTGCCTCTCCAGATGACAATACTTCGGACCCCACCTCATCACCTCTTCCTATCCCTACTAATCCCAGACAGTCTACTCGACTCCGCCAACCACCATCGTGGCATAAAGACTACCACATGTCCAACACTATGTTTACCCCAAGTGCAATTATCTGACTCTACGCCAACTCCTGTTAAAGGTACAAAATATCCATTATCCAATTTTCTTTCATATTCGAAATTGTCTACACCACACCGTGCTTTTTTAGCTGCTGTTTCAGGTCATAGAGAGCCCACCTCATATGCCCAGGCTGCTCAGGATCCTCTTTGGCAGCAAGCAATGAAAGTTGAATTAGATGCCTTGCAACACAACAAAACTTGGAGTCTTGTTCCCTTGCCTGCCGGTCAGAAACCCATTGGATGTAAATGGGTTTACAAAATTAAGTATCACTCTGATGGGACCATCGAAAGATACAAAGCTCGCCTTGTTGCGAAAGGGTACACTCAAGTGGCTGGCGTTGACTATTTTGAGACCTTTTCACCCACTGCTAAACTTACCACTGTCCGCTGCCTCTTATCCGTAGCAGCCTCTCGCAATTGGTTTATTCATCAACTTGATGTTCAAAACGCCTTTCTTCATGGCGATTTGGAGGAAGAGGTGTACATGGTTCCTCCTCCTGGACTTTGCCGACAGGGGGAGAACTTAGTGTGTCGGCTCATAAATATTTGTACGGTTTGAAACAAGCCTCTCGACAATGGTTTTCTAAATTTTCAAGTGCAATACAAAAGGCTGGGTTTCACCAATCACAAGCAGACTATTCTCTTTTTACAAAGGTTCATGGTAATTCCTTCACTGTAGTTTCTGATTTATGTGGATGACATAATTCTTACAGGCAATGATCCACAAGAGATGCAACTTCTGAAAGCATTTCTACTCAAGCATTTCCATATCAAAGATCTTGGTGACTTAAAATATTTTCTGGGCATAGAAGTGTCAAGATCACAAAAGGGCATTTTTATTTCACAACGGAAATATGCACTCGATGTTATACAGGATGCAGGTCTTTTAGGGGCACGCCCTGATAAATTCCCAATGGAGCAACACTTGAAACTCACTCCCACAAATGGTGATTTATTAGATGATCCCACACGGTATAGGAGATTAGTGGGCAGATTAATCTACCTTACTGTGACGAGACCAGATATTCTATACTCAGTACAGACCTTGAGTCAATTCATGCACCAGCCAAGAAAACCTCACTTAGAAGCAGCTCTTCGTGTTTCTGAAGTTCATTAAAGGCACTCCAGGTCAGGGATTATTTTTCCCAACTAATAATAATCTCACATTGAAGGCTTTTTGTGACTCAGATTGGGCAAGTTGTCCTACCACAAGAAAATCAATTTCAGGCTACTGTGTCTTCCTTGGAGACTCTCTTATTTCTTGGAAATCAAAGAAGCAATCAAATGTTGCTCGTTCGTCTGCAGAAGCCGAATATCGAGCCATGGCAGCCACTTGTTTGGAATTAACTTGGTTGCGTTATATATTGCAAGATTTGGGGGTAAAACAAGATAAGCCAATTCCGTTACATTGTGACAATCAAGCTACTCTCCATATAGCTGCAAATCCCGTTTTTCCCACGAACGCACGAAGCATATTGAAATAGATTGCCACATAGTGCGAGAAAAATTGTTGTCTGGTATGATATCCACCTTTTACGTCCCTTCTCACCTACAATTAGCAGATATATTTACCAAAGCTTTGGGAAGGGAACTTTTTAGTTCGTTGAGCAGCAAGTTGGGACTTCACAACATTCACTCTCCAACTTGAGGGGGAGTGTTGAGAATAAAATGACTTGATTGTAGGGATTACATTTTCCTTATTTTATTGGACTTCACATATTGTGGGTCAACCTCAATCATAGCCTCAATTACTTAATAGCCTAGAATAGCTTCCTAGAATAGTTCCTTGTATCACCCATATATGTATACATCCTGTACAAACGTTGATATTGAAGAAATATACAGAAACTTCATCACGTTATTGATTTTTATTATTTTGTGATGTATTTTGGGAAACTTATCAAGCAATTTAAAATTTAAATAACCCTAAACAGTGTTTGATGAGTTGCACCTTTCTTCTTAGTCTTAGTGAGTTTTCTTTTGACGCACTCAATACAAATTTTGTCATCACTGAAAGTCAATAATGGCAAGATTTGTTCCTTAACTAGAATTTTCATTCTTTATTTTAAAATGTGCCCTGAAAGCCTATACCATTCAAACTTCACTATCTTTATTGTAATTGAGACAATATAATCCATCTTTATTATCTTTGAATTTTGATATACAACATCTTTATTGAAACCAAATTAAAACCAAGTCTTAATAATCTTGAAATAGAAATTGAATTTCTCTTTAAGGTACTGAAAACTACATCATCCACCTCTAAAATAAATCTTGAATCCAACTTAAAAACCAACTACTCCAATAAAATTTGATTAAAACAACAGGTAGCTATCTAAAACTCATTGTCACAAACTTGCTACCATGAAAGTGTTGTTCTCCTTAATAGGGAATGGGTCAAGTACCACTATCTCCCTATTAGTGGTGGCATAAAAAATCTCAACAGGTGATTCAGGTTGGGGCGATGGTTTTACAGATTGTACTAGGAGATTCTTGTATCGAAGTAGCTTATTGATGTTTCGTCCTCTCCCATAAGCGCATACATCGAGCCTTATAGCGATCCTAAGACTTCTGAGACTGTCCTTTGTAGCCGTGTATATCCTTATGGGTCCTCTATATGGTCGACGATTTCGCTGCGCCTTAACCCTTTTTCGCTACAGCTCATCTTCGTGCCGCTTCTTAATTAACTCCACTATATTCTTTACTAGAATGCCATTCGTGACAAGTTGGCACAAGTGACACCTATTGATTCCATATGCTTTTCCTTTTCCCTAAGCTCTCTAGGAGTTGTACTACAAGACACATGAGCGAAAAAGGCTAACTTGAATTAAATATAGCCATGAATGAGATCATAAGCGATCTCGTTCATTCCGACAATAACTTTAAAATCAAACGTCCATAATTGAGGTTTGATCTAGTGGATCTTTCAATTTGCAAGAAATTGATTGAGGGAGTGTTTAAAGCTATAAGGATTTGCAAACAAAAACATATTACTTTCCTAGAAACCGATTCTCAATTTGTTAAGAGAAAACAGTTTAACTTTATTCACAAAACTAACAAATAATATATGCAAGCGTCCTTAATTAAGTACCACACCTTTGTGGCAAGAGATTACTTATAGCTTACACAATTACATGTTATCTTGTGCCATCACAAATAAATTACATGACAGATTCTATTTGTTAAAGAAACTTATCAAGCAATTTAGGTATGATGCAATTTTTGGTTATTTCTTTAGGGTTTGTGTATTTAGGTTTGGTTTTGTTATGAAAGTTTGTTGATTCTCAAAACAAAGACAAACATCTATCTGGCTCAGAAAAAATAACCAAACAAACACAGTTCAACAAGGAAAAACCCTAAAATTGCAGTAAATTGTGTTTATGCGTGAACAGTGTTTTGGGGTTCTAAGTGTCAGTTTTTGACGCAAAATACCCTTTCTGAATATGGAATGACCTAATTAACACAACTCACAGTAAAACTGTGACATATAGGCATTTTTAGGATTTTAAGGTGATCTGCTAGGTCAAAAACGTGTTTAAAGTTTTGAAAATATGAAAACCAAATCACAGATTCTTGAAATTTTCAGAAACATGTTTAAGCCATCTTCAAAAAATAAACATAATCAAAACATCCAACATGGCTAAAAGGACCCGACTGTGACTAAAAGGAAATGCTTCCACACATATGAGACCAAAACAGTTAATTATTTAGAGGGCAAAGACTGGACTTCAACTCAGGCAATGTCCTTAAAAAGAATAAAACTTGCAATTTTTTGGTCACGAAGAATAAAACTTGCAATCACACAAACAGTTAATGTGCATTTGTTCTGTAGTGATAATAAGCAAGCCAACCACCAACTCACCATAGAACTGAACATCAATCCTAACTAAGAGCCAGATCAAAGCACATTGTCCGTGAGTGAGCAAATTGATCACTCACCGCCCATAAAACTCAATTTCTGTCCATGATGTGAATTACCAGCACATATTTTTTTTTATGCAATAAATGATTTGGATGGTTCTGTATTTTTTCATACTTGGACAGTTTCTCTTGGTTTGCTGTCTTCTTCTTGAATCTGTGGCGATTGTTGCTGTGGGAGTAAATTTCATCCCACTAGAATATTCGCCTAAGATTCCTTCGTCTTCTCCACTTCTCTTTCTCCCTGCAAAACAGATCGGGGTAAAAGGACCACACCCGGGGGGTGTTGGCCAAAGGCCCTCCGATGCCTAAGTTAGGTAGGGTATTTCAAGGAAAACCGGGTGGCCGAGCCGTGTGTGGTGGCCGGAGCCTTGTGTCAGAGAGAGAAAGAAAGTGGTGGCTAGGGTTTGTGAGAAATAATTTCTGCAGAGTTTCAGTAGGAATTTAGACGTACCTTGACCTTTGTGCGTAGCCAAGTATTTATAATGGTCTCGGAGATTAGGGTTTCAGAGGAATAATTCCATAGATGGAAGGAATTATTCCTCCCTTATTTGGAATTGATTTGATTAATTAGGGATTTGATTTATTAGGGTAAATCAAATCCCTAATCGTGGTAGGTATCAGATCAAATCCTAATTTAATTAGGTAACTCCTCATTTAATTGGGAATTGGGGTAGGAATCAAATCAATTCCAAACTTAATTAGGTAATTCTCAATTTAATTGGGTAACTCCCCAATTAAATTGAGTAACTCCCAATTAGGTTGAGTAATTCCCAATTAGGTCAAATAATCCCCAAATGGAAGGAATTATTTGACCTAGGGTATGATTTAATTCGGTTCCCACAAATGCCCCCCAACTTCTGCATGGCACGTGGTGGCATGTAGGAGATGCAAATTGTCTGTTGGGCTGTCCAGCTGTAACTGGGCTTCCTTCTTTGATTTGGGCTCCTGCGTTGAGGAGGTCTTTGACTTGTCACTTTGGTCTTTTAACTTGGGTTGTCCAGCTGTAACTGGGTTGGAGGCGAGCCGGCCTACTGCTGGAGCAGGTGGCAGTTTGGGTCGGCTTATTTGTGGTTGATCCAAACTGCTTCAATTCCTTCATTTTGTGTCACGAACTAGGAACATTATGAGTCAAGGCGATCACGTGTGGGGCACGGACATGTTGGAAGTCAGCAGCAGATGGGTAGGGGAGGTTGGTGACGGTCCGCTCGTTCCTCACACCTACTGTGATGGTAAGTTGCATCCCTTTGATCTGCTACAGTAGCTATGGAATTCTTTGCTGTGTGTCTGACTGACTTCTGTCTTCTGCTTGTAGAAAATGACATCCACAAGAAGCTCGATCTTGGCCCGAACACGATCAATGTTCATCAAGCTTTGAACATCCTTGCCAGGTTCTGTGGATTGCGCTGGTTGCTGAGTGAACATCGGAAGGAGGCTGATGGTCTACCCCCAGCCGAAGATGTTGAAAGATGGGAGCTGCATGGCTCGGACCTAGATGATCTGCCAGTTGAGCGGGAGAAGTCCTCGACCAAGCTTCCTCATTCTTCCACGAGCAAGTCTTCCGTAAGGGGGTCTCGTCTGTTGAGAATGTCCCTATAGGAGTTGCTTCTTCATCCGCCAAGATCAAGCGCCTCGTCAGCACGAACAGTAAGAAGATCAATGGCATGCAGGAGGTCCGAGATATTCTGCTCAGGTATCCGCTCGAACTGCCTAAAACCCATGATCTACCTTGTGAGGAGGCTGTTGAGAAGCAGGGTTTGAGTTGCTTGTGCCGATCCTGGGATCAAACTGAGAGGACTGTACATCTATCTAGCAATCACGACTCGTCTGCAAAGCCACGAACAGTCAAGCACGGAGCTAACTCAATGTTGCGAGTTTCGGCCAAGAGAGCTAAAGAGTCGTCCGCTCGAGCAAAGAGTCCTTAAGTTGCGCGCCCGATCCAGAAGTTGGTGATAGCTCCGCTGGTCAAGTTCGACACTCATGTTGAAGCCACGGAGGCATCCAAGCATGAGATTGTTGCTAATGCGTACAAGCTGGGATACTCGGATTGTAGGAATAGTGCTTCTCCTTGTTGCCCTCTCGAACATGAAGACGGTAAGCAGCTTTATCTTGACCTGCCCCCTGCTCAAAGTGAGCAGAGCAATACTGTGGATGCAGAAGCAGTTGAAGAGCAAATAGCAGATGAAGCTGCAATGGAGGAAGACAACTCCCAAGGTGGCGTAGCTGATATGGTTAGACCATATGCGAAGGAGCAGGCAGGTGAGGCCGTTAAGTAGATGGTGCTGGTTGGCTGCTTTGTTATAGAATTTTCATTGTCTTTCAAACTTCAATTCTCATTGTATCTTGTAAGTGTACGTCCGGAGACATAGCATTTGAAAGAGACTCCATTGAGTTTGTACTCGCGAAATAGCTTGTCTACAATGGAGATAAGGCTCGTCGCCTGTGTGCGTATGTCGGGGACATGACGCTTGAAAAGACTCTATGAAGTTTGTACTCGAGGAGTAGTTTGCCTTAAGTGGAGGTGAGGCTTGTCGCTTGCGAGCATATGTCGGGGACACAATGCTCGAAAAAGACTCCATTGAGTTTGTGCTTCGTAGAGCAGCTTGTCTGCAATGGAGATGAGGCTTGTCTCATGCGAGCATAGGTCAGGGACACAATTCTCGAAAAAGACTCCATTGAGTTTGTGCTTCGTGGAGCAACTTGTTTGCAATGGAGATGGGGCTTGTTGCCGCCATGTGTATGTTCGTAAGACATAATGCTCAAAAAAGTACTTCATTGAAAAGCTTGCTCTTGTATTGATGTTGGTGTGAATACATCGCTTTATTGAATAAAGGAAATAACAACAAAGGTAACATCAAAAGTAGTTCGTCTTTAATGGAAGTACAGGAGGCTCGTCGCCTGCTAGGAGCCAAGCTGGTAAGCGAAGAGTTTCATGGATAGTATCTTCGAAGGTGGTGGGCATTCCATTGTCTCGGAATTTCTTTTCCTTCTAGAGTATCAAGGGTGTAACTTCCTCTGCCCCCAGATCGGCTGATCACGTAGGGGCCTTCCCAGTTTGGCTTCATCTTCTTTGACCCTTGCCTTGGTGCTGTGATGAAAGTTTTTCTAAGCACAAGGTCTCCAGGCTAAAACTGTCTGATCTTGGCCTTCCTATTGTAGTAGGACGTCAACTGCTGCTGGTAGGCGGCAACTCGAACAATGGCCTTTTCTCGTTCTTCTTCGAGCAGATCAAGGTTGACTTTCATCTGCTTGCAGTTTTGGTCAAGACTGCCCACCTCAATGCTCATGGAAGGGACTGTGATGTGTGGGGGAATGATTGCTTCTGTCCCATAGGCCAGGGAAAATGGTGTCTCTCCGATCGATCTCCTTTTGGTCGTGCGATAAGCCCATAGGACTCCTGGCAACTCGTCGACCCATTTTCCTTCTGCGCCTTCCAGTCTTTTCTTTAGGCAGTCCAGCACTATCTTGTTGGATGCCTTTGCTTGGCCATTGCCTTGCGGGTATCGAGGTGTTGACAGGTGCTGTTTGATGCCATACTTCGCGAAGAATGCAGTGATCTGCCTGCCCACGAACTGTGTACCATTGTCGGTGACTATCGATTGCGGGCAACCGAATATGCAAATAATGTTTTTCCAGATGAACCGTTCAACATCGGCCTCCTTGGTAGAAGATAAAGCCTCGACCCTCGATCTATTTGGTGAAGTAATCAGTGGCAACGATCATCATCTCTTTATTGGCAGGTGCCGTCGGCATAGGTCCCACCAAGTCAATGGCCCACTGCATGAATGGCCATGGACTGTTCTGCTGATGGTATTCCTCAGCGGGCAGGCCAGGGACCGGCTTGTAGCGTTGGCATCGATCACATCTTCGAGCATACTCCGTAGAGTCTTGGCGCATGGTAGGCCAGAAATAGCCGATGCTGAGAGGCTTCTGAGCAAGCGATCTGCCCCCAGCGTGATTTCCACATTCGCCGTCGTGTATCTTGCAGAGAACCTCGAGCGTTTATGGGTACTTGATGCAAGTGAGATAAGGCCCGGAGTATGATCTGCGGATAAGCGTGTCGCCTTTCATGTAGTATCTTGCAGCCTTCTGCTTGATTTTTTTGGCCTCGGACTTGTCCGCGGGCAGGTTTTCATTCACTAGGTAGTCAATGATGGGGTCTTGCCAACTAGGATCCTCATCGATCTGCATCAGGTCCGGCTGCTCTGCCTCTTCTATGCTAGGCTGGTCAAGGTGCTCGACCGGGATGGAGCGTCTGAACTGGGTATCTAGCGCCGATCCTAAGCTTGCTAGTGCATCTGCGTGCGCATTCTCTGCTCGGGGAACTTGTTGGATGGTGAAGGTGGGGAAACGCCTTCAACAACTCTTGGACTTTGTCAAGGTACAGGATCATCCTCGAGTGTTTTCGTCCCACTGGAATATTCACCTAAGATTCCTTCGTCTTCTCCACTTCTCTTTCTCCCTGCAAAACAGATCGGGGTAAAAGGACCACACCCGGGGGGTGTTGGCCAAAGGCCCTCCGATGCCTAAGTTAGGTAGGGTATTTCAAGGAAAACCGGGTGGCCGGAGCCGTGTGTGGTGGCCAGAGCCTTGTGTAAGAGAGAGAAAGAAAGTGGTGGCTAGGGTTTGTGAGAAATAATTTCTGCAGAGTTTCAGTAGGAATTTAGACGTACCTTGACCTTTGTGCTTAGCCAAGTATTTATAATGGTCTCGGAGATTAGGGTTTCAGAGGAATAATTCCATAGATAGAAGGGAATTATTCCTCCCTTATTTGGAATTGATTTGATTATTAGGGATTTGATTTATTATGGTAAATCAAATCCCTAATCGTGGTAGGTATCAGATCAAATCCTAATTTAATTAAGTAACTCCTCATTTAATTGGGAATTGGGGTAGGAATCAAATCAATTCCCAACTTAATTAGGTAATTCTCAATTTAATTGGGTAACTCCCAATTAAATTGAGTAACTCCCAATTAGATTGAGTATTCCCAATTAGGTCAAATAATCCCCAAATGGAAGGAATTATTTGACCTAGGGTATGATTTAATTCGGTTCCCACAGTTGCCATTTGCTAAGTTTAGTGGGTTGCATTTCATAGATTTGGGTATAATTAAGTGTTTGTTGTTGTATTTCATAGAATAATTGTTTAGTTCTTGTAAACAATTGGGTCATTGCATTTGTAAGCTATTTGGAGCACCTAATATGCTAATTTTCTCAATTTGTAATTCGATTTTATGTTGATTTATTCGTAATTTGTTTCATATTGCATTTGGGTGTAACTTCTGATGGGTGGAATCCAGGTTTGGTAGAATCTTGACAAAAGCTCATGTCAAGTTGTCAAGGAATTGAAAGCTGAAGTTAATAGTTTTGGTGGAGAATGATTTTCCTCTTCCCTCTATCATTTATTCTCCCATTGCTTTTGCAAATGGCCAATCAATTGGGATCATTCATTCTTTCAGCTATCTTGCTAAACAAAATATATGTGTGTGTGTGTGTGTATAGACTCTATAGAGAGGGAGTAGAGATGATATATGAACATAAATGTTTGAGAGTCAAGACAGTTTGCTCAGTTTCTCTCAACCGGTCAAGGGACCTTGACTTGATGCAGTTTGTATCTGGCTCTCACTGGTGTTCATTCCCAAAATGGATTCAAAATGTTTCCCCATTGCATCCATCTCATTATTTGATGCATTTGGATCTGAGACCAATATCTGAATAGCAGCCCTGCCTTCAAGCATGCTCACAACTGAAGACATGGTAGGCCTAATTGTTGAAGTGGCATTGCAGCAAAGGAGAGCCACATTGATTGTACGCATCATCTCTTCTTTGTTGAAGTCTGAGCCCAACCTTGGATCCACTAGGTCCATCAAATTCCCTTGCTCTTTCAGTAGATGTGCCTAGAAGTTAAATAGAGTGTGCTACTAGTTATTCAGAGTTAATACTCTCAGAGAAACATAATAGAGATAAACAGTACAAGATTAAATTTAAAAGCTAAATAAGGAAGCAATAGAATCATCTTACCCAATCAAGAAGATAAAAGCTTTCTTCCTTTGAACGGTAACCGGAGTTGTTTGTCCCACTAGCAATTTCCAATACAAGAATTCCAAAGCTATAAACATCTGCTTTGTCAGTCAGATAACCCCGCATTGCATATTCGGGTGCCATATATCCACTGCAAAAACATGAAACCACACATCATTCCCCAATATTTAGCTTAGAGAAATAGGAAAAATACTACTAAGCCTTCAAATTTGTTTTAACAGTATAAACCTTCCATCTGTTTCCTATTTCTATGGACCCATCATCGGGGTGCAAGAAATCAAAATAAAAGTATAAGAAGAAAAAAAATAGCACAGGGACTCACTAAGTTCCAGCAATACGGGTGCTAATGTGTGTATTATCCTCTTCATCAAGCTTGGCCAATCCAAAGTCAGATATCTTTGGGGTAAGATTTTCATCAAGCAGCACATTAGTAGCCTTGATGTCTCTATGAACGACCTTCAATCTTGATTCCTCGTGGAGGTAAGCCAAACCTCTAGCTATACCAACACAGATCTTGTGCCTTGTTGGCCAATCCAACTTCAACTGACTTTGTTCTGGCCCTTCAATTTGTCAAATTACTCAAAGTTAGTTATACCCATCTGCATGAACCAAATGAAGTTTAGGCATACAAGAATAATATTTACCAAACAAAGCACGAGCAAGGCTATTATTTTCCATGTACTCATAGACAAGCAATAGTTGATTTCCTTCAATACAGCATCCGTGAAGCTTGACAAGATGATGATGTTGCAGAGCAGAAATCATGCCTATCTCATTCACAAATTCACGATTCCCTTGCTTTGATTTGGAAGAAAGCTGCTTGACAGCAATTACGGTGCCATCTGATAGAAGGCCCTGCATTTGAGAAGCAAAGTCAAAATCCCTTCACTAAAAAGCAGAGCAACTTTAATAACAATGCTTACAATTAGTCAAGTTAGCCCAACTGCAATAAATAAATAGAAATATTGGTCCTGCAGAATACCTTGTAAACAGAACCAAATCCACCTTCTCCAATCTTATTGGCTTTGTCAAAGTTGTTTGTGGCATCTTTGAGTTGCCTGAAGCTAAATTTACCAGTTTGCAGGTCCACGCCCTTTAAATCTGTGTAAGAAGCAAACTCATATAAGAAATTGTGTCTACACGAATTTCATAATGGTAGCATTTTATTTCTTAATATCATGCGACTGATTCAAGGCATCAAATTTAACAAGTAACTGAATCTATAGGTAGGCACACTTTGCATCAAAGGTTTCAACAGTATAATATATTCTAGCAGCATCAAGGCGTTAGAAAGTTCAATATCTAAATAAATATCAACTTACAGAGTGAGCCTAAATATACACGAAAAGTACGTACCATCCTCCAAAGTATTTTGTTGTCCTAGGTGGCCTCTCCTCCAAAGAATACCAAAATCAGTAATATAATGAAGACTCCTCCAGCCACAATTCCAACTACTGCACCTACAGATATGCCACTTCCACCAGATGCAGGTGATGTCGCAGGTGATGTCACAGGTGATGTTACAGGTTCTGGTGGGGGTACAAAGTCTGCCGGAAGAAGAGTAGGTTTATTAGAGTAAATGCGAATGTAATATATAAGACAGTGCATTATTCAAACAGCTACCTAAAGCCGGATCTCTTAATTGTGTTGTAATATTAATGCCTAACATGATATTTACATATGAGAAACTCGCAATGGTCTACAAATAGTAATTAGAAGAAGCTCAGAACAGTACTTACTAGGATCTACAGAAATAGCTGATATAAGAGGACCATAAACTCCTGTAACAGGGATACCAGTCGTCCCTTTCCCAGCCCAATAGAAACGGATCTCCAAGGTACCATTAGTTACAGAAGCATTAAAGTTCTTTATGACTGCCTTACCAACCCCACCACCAGCTTCATCCGCAATATTGAAATCCTTCAGCCGTTGTATCCCCTGAAATATGCTAATGTAGTTACTTAACATTTCATGATCGTAATGTAGTTACTTAACATTTTACATGTTATTACTAGAAATTCATAAACATTTGAATTAACCAGGAACTAAATGTAAACATTTCATGATCGTAATGTGTGTTGACCTTTACCTGAATGTAAACATCAAATATACGCCTTCCCAGGCTTTTATATGTTTTGCCATTTGTAAACCGTGTCTCTGCAAAATGGAGGTTTACAGTGTAGTCTCCATTTCCCAGACAAAACCCAAAATAAGTTAGAGAGATGGGGGAAAGGCGTGCATTCATGTACAGTTTTGGATTGGCCATAGAGAGAATCGTTTCATTATTTTGGATAAAGGTGTCTTCATGGTTATCATCAATAAAGCAACCAGTGCTGCTTAAAGCCCAATTTGTTGAGCTCTGGCGAAATGATGAAGATCCAACTGAATCTGTGTCACCATTAAATGTTGTAATTTTTTTCCCAAAAACAGTTACTTCTTTTCCACCACAATTTATATGGAGAGAGTACCAAGCTACAACAGAAAGCAAAAGATTAGTGGCCATTGAGGAGGAAAACAAAAAAAGAATCAACCCCAGAAGAAAAAATAATGCAATTATTTCTATGTTCATGATGGGTTGATGCAAGTGTATAATGGTCTTCTTTCACATAGTACTTCTCCTTTTGGATCATACAAGCCTCCAGCTCCCCCCCAAAAAAAAATTCAAAGATAAATAAATATATCTTGAAGCAATATGTGGAAACCCAACTTACTTCTTGGACATTTTGCAGTTCTGAAACATGAAACAGTTTTTCTGATAGGAGAATGCAGCAGGATCCAGAAGAAGTCAGCAAGATAACATCATAAATGAAAATAAGTTGTAAAATAAAATAAGAATACTCAGTTGGAATGCCAGGTAAATTTATATACGCATGCTTTCAGAGGATTAATTTGTAACTTACGAACTATTGCCCTTTGAAGAGCTTGCAAACAAGTTCCTGTAGAAATTAACACAAATTGAAAATTTAAGTTTGCTCTACAAGACACAAACAAAGTAAACTCAACTAATGAAAACATTCTTACAAGCCGCCTTGTGATTGACAACCTGTGTCCCCTATATTGAAGTTATTATATGAAAGATCACTGCACAAAAAGGGCTGTTACGTAAATTCCTTTCCAAATGCAGTATGAGAACAGAAAATAAAATGAGGAGCAAGAGGTAGGTATTACCACGGTTGGACTGAAGTTTTGAAATCATAGTTTATATCAATTCTAGCGAGATTTAATTCTGGAAATCCAATATAAAACAATCAACCAAACTTCATGAGATGAAAAATATTAGCTACTTTCACTATTCATAGTCATAGGTGCCTAAGCTCTCACAACTGTCCACGTTAAGCCAAGTTCACCTTAAAATTTCCCCGTACTGAATTTGGTCAAGCTACCCGCATCTCATAACATATAGTATACCAAGATAATAAAGGTCCACCCCAAGACAAGGGCATAGCCATCATTTAATTTCAGGATGCTCTCTTCCCTTGGAACTACCTTCTATGTTGGCCAATCTCTCCAACTTATGCATCTACTAAACATTGTTGATTATGTCGAATCCTATCCTTCCTTGTCTTCCCACACATCCATCTTGACATTCTCATTCCCACCACGGTTATTTTATGAACATGTTGTTTTCTAAGTGCTTAGAATTTCGTCCCATATTGTAAGATCCCACATTGACCAACGGAGAGGGGTGATGTGCCTTATATATGCACACCCGCATCCATCTATCACAAGACCTTTTGGGAGCTCACTGGCTTCGGAGTCGTAGAAACTCTGAAGTTAAGCGAGTTAAGGGCCAGAGCAATCCCAAGATAGGTGACCCCACTGGGAAGTTGGTCGTGAGCTTCCAGAAACAAAACCATGAGGGCCAGAGAAGGGGGGCCCAAAGCGGACAATATCGTGCTACGGTTGAGTCGATCCCGAGATATGACAATTTGGTATCATAGCCACTCTGCCGTGTGGTGCGAGTGTGTCGATGAGGACGTCGGGCCCTTAAGGGGGGTGGATTGTAAGATTCTTTTAAAGAATTTACATTAATGCCTATTTCATGAGTATAATTGTATGTCAAGCTCCATTATGAAAGTCATGTCATAACGAATGCACTATGCTTTATCCAGTGAAAGACAGCATAAATCTCCTTACTAAATACTAAGGATTAGACTTTGGAAGAGAAGCTTACACATTTTTTTTCGTCCAAGTAGGCACGGGTCCAGTCAGCAAGTTTCCAGTTAAGAATCTAAACATAATTGGTACAGGAAAAAGGGCATAAATTACTAGAAAGGGTATAAACAAAAGCAATGAATTACTAGAATCCCAGAATGGTAAGCATGATTAACATGACCAGCTTGTAGGGCTGGGGTGTGACAAAGCAATTGAAGAATGTCTGCTTGAGTTTTCTTGTAAGAAAGACAAGATTTGTTATTCAAATTGCTTACATATAATCCGCTTCTGCTAGAGCAACAAAGCTGATTGGAATTTTCCCGATTAGCTTGTTAAAGCTGAGGTCTCTGCACAAACCATTAACAAATGCATTTCAGATATGCTCCCCCAGAGGGAAACATTGTTTAACTTAGTACTAATAATAATAAAATCACTCCAAGAATCAGGATATGCTTTTGTGTATGCCTACATGTTTGTAATTACTTGATTACTTAAAAATAGTATCTAGAAAGAAGATAATTTATTTGTCAGAGAGAAAAAGAAAAAAAAAAAAAAAAAAAACAAAGATATTTGTACTAACATAGTGTTAACAAATTCTTCATGTTCCCGAGATATGAAGGTAGCTGTCCAGTAATATTGCAACTCCTCATTATCCTGTAACAGAAAGACTAAAAATTTTAGTTTGCAAAAGACTTCTTGTACAGAGAGACATTGTGTGTCATGGAAGCATCAACTCACAGTCTCTTCATGCCTTTCATATTCTCAAGTCGAGGAAAGGATGCTTCAGGCCCACTCAAGTCAGTAATTCTCCTGCATGTTAAAATCGAGCAATGAACATACAGAATATTGCTAGTCTGTTTATATTTATAAATAGATACAAAATCAAAATCCATACTAACAAGTCAGTTAATTTTGTCAAAAGAGAAATGCCAGAAGGAATTGGCCCCGTCAAACCACTAGCCCGAATCAGTCTGTTTAACAAGTCATAACATTTGAATCAGTGATAAGATTCAGAATCAAGTAGCAGCAAAGATAATAAAAAAAACAAACTCACAGTTTCTCAAGATTTGTCCAGTTCTTTATAAAATCAGGTATCTGCCCAGAAAAGTGACTATCACCCACCCGGCTGCATAATGATTGGCAAAAGGAAAACAGTACCAATTAATCCTATAATGCGGTATTTGGGTGCTTAGGAAACCTTGAAGAAAAAAGAACAGAAGCTTACAAGTCTTTTAGTGTGGTAAGATTTCCAAATGTATCTGGCAACTCCCCAGTAAAATTATTTGAGGGAAGAAGCCTAACCATGAAGGAGACATAACAATTATATTAAAGATAAAGAAGTCGATGATTTCTGATGAAAATATCCAGATCTGTCTACAGCAAAGCGATTCCATATAATAAACCAACTATTCTTTTATCACGATAACATTCGGAATAGGACAATCTTACATTTTTTCTATGAGGGGCAAATTCCCAAGCTGCCAAGGGAGCACTCCAGAGAAATTATTCATACTGATGTCCCTACACAAAGCAAATTCAATTCCATTGAGTTAAAAAAGATCATCATTAAGGATCTCAAAAAAAATCAAGTGGGGGAAAGAAGAAACAAATGCGTAATCAGCACTCACAAAATCTTCAGGGTTGTGATGTTTCCAATCTCTTTGGGGATAGGACCGGTCAACGGTTTGCAAGAAGGCAACTGCAACAAAACTCATATGTTTATGATCACTTTTATAAAATAAATGGGCTCAATAACATCAACACACACACATGTATGCAGAGTGACAAACAAGACAGTACATGTTAATAAGTGGAAGGGAGCCCCATTCTGGAGGGATGGTACCACTCAGGTAGTTGCGGGTGAGGTCACTGAAAGAGAGTGAAAAAATGAGTCATTTTCTCATTGACAACAGACATACGTGTAAGGTAACAACGTGCTTACATTCCTTCGAGATAGGTGAGCCTGGCCATCTCTTTTGGGAGTGTTCCTGACAAATTCTGAGCTCTCATAACTCTGTGCTTCATCACAAAACAAGGTTTCAAATCTTAATTGCAATTTAACAGAAGACCTGTCTCGCAGCTATACTGTGACTAAAAGGAAATGATTCCACTCAGGCAATGACTAAAAGCAAGCAAGCCAACCACCAACTCACCATAGAACTGAACATCAATGCTAACTAAGAGCCAGCTCAAAGCACATTGTAGTAAGTGAGCAAATTGATCACTCACAGCCCATAAAACTCAATTTTGCAGTTTAAAACTTAAACTTAGTTGATTGTAAAATTCTTACTTTAGTGTTCACTCAATATAAGAAACAGATTTATAACAAAATCAGTTTGCTCTGCACACTGCACAGCAAGTGTGTCTGCCAGAAATTCCTTTCTGCATTTTCTTGAATTTCGTCAAATAGAATTAAAATGTGAAAGAAAACCATTCAAGGCACCAAGGGTACTTCCACTCATGACCCGTGATCCATGACCCCATGACCCAACTTGGTAATTAGTGACACTGTGTAAGAGCATCCACAATTGGCTCCTTAAACCACCTCCTTAGACAAATTTTAGGGAGAAATCATAAAAATACAACTCCAACATCGCTCCCTATCCACCTCCTAAAATAGGGAGTCCTTTAGGAGATCCTAAATCTGAGGAGAGAGAAAGGACTCCTAGTAACTCTTTATAATTTAATGCTGTTTTATTTAATGAGTATTTCAAACCTTTATTTAATTCTTTTTTTTTTTTTTTTTTTTTTTTTTATTTATAGAGATGAGACCAATCAAAAAAGAGTTATAACATTTATGACTCTCCAAATTAGAGAGTATGGTTGAAGTTGAAATTTTTTAGAGAGCTCTTAAAATAGCTTTCTTATATTCTTAGCCAAATTTTAGCTAAGAAATAGAGAGTATCATTGTGAATGCTCTAAGAGGGCCTGAACCCATTCTTGTGTACTGCTCTATACAATACGGCCTTGGGATTATTATTCCTGAAAAATACTATTACTAATGGAATCTCGTCTAGTTAAAAAGTATTTTGATTTACAGACTAGTAATCTCAAATTCAAACCTATATAAGCATTACACATTGATAGTTTGCGCGAGAATCCCACAAAAGTTGAACGTGACAACAGCCACCTCCAAGTGGGGCCGACAGTTCCTTTTTTCGGTTTTTTGGTTTTTTGTCGAAAAGCCGACAGGCCCTTTTAATTCCCACTTATTTTGGAGGTGGCATGGTGATATTTTAAGTCAATTGGGGGCCCAATGTGAAAATGATCAATAATTAATTGATATAGACGTGCAGTCCCCAGAAAACCATATGTCTAAATCAGCATCTCTCTCTCTCTCTCTCTCTACAAACTTACAGCGGAGCTAATGGTCATGGGTCAATCAATCAAGGAAGGTTCATGCCCTGATCCTTCTTTCGCTTTCAGTTTCAGACAGAGACTAGTCCAATACTCCTAAAAGTATCAACATCAAAATTAACTTAAGCATATGTAAATAACCTATCCCCTAACACTACACATGTCACTTAATTTAAGAAGAGCTTTTTAAGTGCGGCTACGTATACAATAGTATACTCTCATAGGGATATAATTAGCGTGGAACTGAGGACTAAAATATCGATAATATCGATGAAATATCATTAATATTATCATTTTTTCAGGCTTAAGATATTTTGGAACATATCCATACACATATTGTATAATTAATATCGGGAAATATCAACGTCGATAATTTCTCACATGCTTCAACAACATTTGGCCAAAATATCAATTATATCGAGATGATGAATGCAGTGAAAAATTTGAACCTCATAGAAACTTTATGTGGTACTAAGTCACTCATGTCTCTTACCATGCAATATATAAAGTGTAAAATATTGTAGTAAATCATTATAAATAAATGATTATAGTATGTTTAATATTGTTTCATTAATTACTACAAATTTTCTACACTCCCAGTGTTTGTTAGCTCGCTATATAATCAACTTAAATCAGTTAAACTCATCATGCAATGCATTTCCTTCCAATGTTTTGTGAGAAACTAATACATAATTGACTAAGTAAACATTCTCCAAAGTTTCAATAAATTTTTTAAAGTTTTTCTTACAATTTCCATGGTTTTTATTCAATTTTTACCGATATTGACAATTTCCCGATATGTCCATCGAAATTGCCATGTGTTCGGACCACCAATATTTCTGAAATTATTAATATTTTAGACCTTAAGTGAAACTAAAATCGGATGATATCCTTACTTTTGTGTGAGGGTTGACGAACAATCCACTAGATCTGGTAAGCGGACATAAGAATTTCTCCCAATTTAAAACTTGCATAACATTAGAGGCTCACCTACCTTAGAAAGTTAGAAAATCTGTTAGAACCAAAAGAAAAAGTTGGATTCCATGTATATAACACAAAAGTTGAAGGACTTTAAATTTTGAGACTTCAGATATATGGACAAGAGTAAGTATATGCTGGACTATCTTCTTCACCGACAACATGAGAAAGGCTCATTCAAAGTCATCAAAATTAGGCCACCGTGAGTATACTAATATTATACAAATAGCAATTTTCTTGGTATATATATATAATGGGTTAATTCTGAAAGGAAAAATATATATAATATACATAATACATATATATCGCCAATGATCTAACATTCCCCAAAAAAGTTTTGTTTAGGGGTGACACCATCACCATATATATAAATGCATTCCATGTAAACCACATAAACTCGATAATATCATTTGGTGTTAGGTGGTGCTAGTAGAGAGAGAGAGAGAGAGAATTTTACATGTTGGTAATATGGCAGACAGTGGAATTGGCAAAGGAACATTTACAGTTGACTTGATACTCAAATTCTTCGCCCAGACTGGTATCAGTCCATGGTTTTTGATTGTTGCATGGATCTGCTTCTCCACTGAAATCCCAGTTCGTCTTCCCCAGTGTCTTTGCTATGTCAGCTAAAGTTTTTACTACATATGTATTTAAAACAAAGTGTTACAATAATTTAACTCCATATGCTCAGTACTCAATATCTACACATTCATACAATTACTACCATTAATGTCTAAGTAAACAAGAACTACAAAGTCATGAATCCAAGCATCATATTACTGGAAGCTGCAAGTATAGTGTTCTATGACTCGTTTGTCAGTTGGGTATGCGAAATATCTTTTGCCCAATTTAAGGGGAGCGTTGGCAAGTACTTACTTAGTTATGATTTTGGTTCCTTTAACATAATTATAAGATGACGAAAGGAGATTAAGGAAGAAATTTAACATAGATACATTAAGAGTATATATATACACACACATACGTATACCTTCATCTGGTGGCAATCGAGTAG